GAGAGAGAGAGAGAGAGAGAGAGAGAGAGAGAGAGAGAGAGAGAGAGAGAGAGAGAGAGAGCGCGCGCAACGCAAGTCATCAGGCCCGTGTTGGCAAGTGCATCAGGACCGCGCTTTCCGCTTTCTAGCTTTTTTATTCGTGTCTTTTAACGTGTAACGACTACACATATCGAACTGCCACACAGACTCACAGTGAACAGAAAGTCCCCATGGTCATGATGTGTGACTCTTATACGCAACAGCCCAATTACAACAAAAATTAAAGATCTTGTTATCTCTGTTATACATGCTCACGACATTTTAAATCACTAGACGCTAACACGTCACCGGACGTAAATAAATACTGATGTACCGGTAGAAATATAATGGAGATCATATGTCTATACTCACTTTACGGGTGTTGCTATCCCCGGGCGTGGAGGGAGGTCACGTGATAACGTTGACGATGACGTTCAAAACGTTAACCCTAACGGTAACCCTCACTCCAACACCGCCAACACTAACCCTCACACTAAACATATATATGTCTCGCCGCGCTATATATATAGGCATTGTGATCCACAAAAATTAATCTAAAAAAAAATCAATCTATGGTGTGGGGACAGATATCATGATGTAAAAACCTTAACCCTAACCCTAACCCTAACCCTAACCCTAACCCTAACCCTGACCCTAACCCTAACCCTAACCCTAACCCTAACCCTAACCCTAACCCTAACCCTGACCCTAACCCTAACCCTAATCCTAACACTATCCCAACACTAGTGCTGCCACGTTGCGGTCACCTCCCTCCACGCCCGGGGGATAGCATTACCCTTACTTTACACGCTCAACGAATCGCGAACCTGAGCAACACGCTCTGTATGGGGTGTGTGTAAAAATTCGCCGTACTGATTCAAAATAGTAATGACAAAATAGCATATTACGTATCATTGCGAAAACAACGTTAATAAAAATAAAAAGTTAATGTCTTTTTTACGTGAAGCCATTTTTTATACGAGGGATCTATTCCTGCATCCGATATGTTCGTTTGCCAGAATCCTCTGTCGATAAGATGAATTTCTGCTTATGGTTTAGAATTAGACCTCGATAGTATTAATTTTTGGCACTATATGTGTTACTAACCGTCGGTAGTAAAAAAAATACGCGCGATAGAAATTCAGAGAGGGTTGAATCAGATCTTAAAACAGTTGATGAACATTGTAGGTTGGTTACAAATGAATAAAATGTAACAAAGGGGACATCTTTCACCATTTCAAAAGCCGTTACCAAAAATCACCTAAGCTGCAGTGCAGTTTTAAAGTTGAGACACAAGCTTACAACAACAATAGATCAAGCCAGACTAGACCCAATATCTACGGTACACTTTATTTATTTCAGTCATAGGCTTTGCGATACGTTGCAATTCTAAGTAAAGATACCCGTTGGTTTTTGTGTACACACGTACAGACACAGTCAGCAGTTGACGTTATAGTTCAATTACTTGTGTCTATGCGTCTGTTTTACGGAAAATGTTAGGAATTGCATAACGTCGTAGATCAAACATACAGACTGTTCAAACAAGGGAAGCTGTACCAGACATTAAAATCCTCAACTGTAATGCGACCGCTATGTTCCTGTGTATATTCGTGCAGAATCGCAATCAATCACCACTACCCACCGGTAACTAGTCAAGTACCGTCAACCTACTGCCAACCACCGTTATTTAGCGTTAACTAACGTCAACTACCGCCATAATGTCAACTTGTATCCCCCACCGTTAAATAGCTAATAATTAATTAGCTAATAACGTCACCTATTGTCAACCGCCGTTAACTGACGGTAAGCATCATCAGATTCTATCAACAGTATACAACTATCACTACAAGCAAAACTCTACACTGTCATATAGGTTGTACATCTATTGTGTTCCTAGATACTAATCATGGTATGTGTGGAGAGCATACTATACCGCAGTGCGCTTGTATAAAACCGTGATTATTCTATATTTCATAAAATTCATAATATATTTCATATATTTCTTCTTCGATTATTATATACGTTTTTACGTCAAATTCAAGCGTCATTTTAAACGTTTTACGTCATTATAGAAATGCTAATTTCAATCGCTTTCCAGAAACCTAGTCGATGGTAATTAATAGCGGTTAACATGCAATTGCATTTTTATAAAAAAAAAAATCAGATAATCAGTTTGACTAGGCGCTAGGGCCCGATGAGCGCACAGACGGACAAACCGCGAAAGCCATTGTGGACGATTCGACTGACGGCCGAACAAACGGACGAGTAGATACACGGTACGAACAGACGAACGTACGTAGGTGTAGTGGGCGGTCGGGCGAGTGAGCGGCGAACGGGTTGGCAGGCAGACAGACGGGCAGACGGGCGGGTAGGCGGAAGGTGGACGGACGGCTACGCTGATTCAGGCAATCGGCAATAATTCAGCCCTCGCATCCTGTACGACGTAAAGCTGACGTGACAATTTGCGTGGGGTCGCTCTTATATCATAATATGTACATGCGACATTTACATGCAACTAGTCATATAGCAGTCAGATGGACACGTGAACTCTGGTGCTCACGAAGATGAGTCTGCAATATTCACGTCACGTAGACAGAGAGCGATCAGTTCAAGTTTTGCGCGTGTGTACATTCTTTTTTATACTGACCTCACGAGTCCCTCCACAATCTATGTCAAGGTCTAAACAACTATTCCTTTAACATGTTTCCGCGCTCTTCGATACAGTACATGCAGTAGTAATGAGTTTTATCACTTTGATAACATTCAGATGTCGTTAAAGTATCTATTGCATCGCAAGGAAAGACCCCTATAGACTATTTATAGTTATACAGTTAATACTGCATGGGTTCACATGTTATACTAAAAACGCCATTTTCTAAACAGAAATGCCGTGCTATATAATTAATGCGCCAGTAATAACAAATATAAACATTTATTATTATTATTATTATTATTATTATTATTATTATTATTATTAAATATATAATTTTGAGTGCTTAAATAAATTCGTCACGGTATATCCCCCATTTACCTGGAACCAATCCTTGGTTCTGTGGTGTATGTATTTTGATACCTTTTAATATAATTATATACCAAATAATATTTATAATGATTACAATAATTATCGTCGTTATCATCGGGAGCATCATCATCATCATCATCATCATCATCATCATCATCATCATCATCATCATCATCATCATCATCATCATCATCATAATCATCATCATCATCATCATAATCATCATCATCATTATCATCATCATCATCATCATCATCATCATCATCATCATCATCATCATCATCATCATCATCATCATCATCATCATCATAATCATCATAATCATCATATTTATTTTTATCATAATTAGTTATACTTTATTCCTTTTTGTTCCTTAAAATACAATATGTAATGCCTATATCCTTTAATTGTTTGCTTCCTTCTCCTGTGTTCTCGCATGAACAAAATATAAACGATTAGAAAATACATTGAGCGATGTGCTCTGATGGCTCCTATGTGTCGTCCATTTTAGTTTTCCCCGCGCAGCGAATGCGGCCAAGGTCACCTTAATTAAGGCACGATTCTTCGCACCGAGTTTTGCCTTTCCGTCGCGCTTCAACGGGTTCCTAAAGCATGGAAAACGTGAAATGGGTCAGTACATTACGAAGAGCGCTCGTCTCTTCTCCTCTCTCTTTTGCTTGGTACTATATTTGATCACACCCACCTACATTAGTTTTTCCCTCCATCGTTCGCGCCTCCATTTGCCCTATCCCGTCACTTCTGCTAGAACAGCGTGCGTGTCGGTTATGAATCGCTACCAAGCACGGTAGACTGTTTGCTCGCTGGCGTTTTGGAATCTCTGCCAGGCGAACAGGTAGACATATTGAGAGTACAGGTACAACCGTAAATAGACCGTGTCGACCTTGGGTGCGTAATCTGTCCCAAGTATGAGGCAGGTTTCTAAAGCAGAGTTCTGCCCTATGGGCCGCCAATGAAAAAACTTCCGATCCCACATTACTTCGTCATCGGCGCATAGCAGACGGATATGTACAGACGAAATATCGCAGACGTGAGGGGGTAGGGGTGGCTGGCAGT